TTCATTCTTTTTCTCCACCCGCCCCCATCTCTTTGCCCCTTTCTCTTTTCCTCCTCCTATTGCCATCCTTTAAAATCTATCTTTGAGATTCTGTCCCCTCAAGTGAGAGCCACGGCACCCCCGCCCCACTTATCCCAGCCCAGTAACTAGAGTAAAACTATCTTCCTTGGTAAGGCTTAAGCAAAGAGGCTGAGGAGGGCTGTCGTCAGCATGTTGTCTTTCCCCTGACTTGATTAGCTATCCGCAACTAGAGCAGAGATGTTGTGTGGCTTCGATTCCCCAACTTTTGCAGAACACCGTTTAGGCTGAGCTCAGCAGAAGCCATGGCAAGTGTCACTGTGCTTCAGTGGGAGCATCACACACATAACTGTTAAAAGTCCATATTCTCACATTCCAGTGCAGATGCCACGGGAAGCCGTCGGGTCGGATACGTGGGCTTGGAAACAAGCACCTCCATATCCCCAGCAGTTCAGAAGAAAGACCACACTGGTTGATCACTCCTTCAGCCAGAGTAGCTCCAGTGTCCCTTGTCTCCAAGAACTGTGTTGGGGTTTCTGATAAAGGAACTTAGAAATATGCTGGTGTACACCTACCACACCCAAGGTCCTCTAAAACACAGACAGAAAGATGTTCAGGTTTAAGACTGTCCCTGTCCCCAGTGGGTAGGCTCTGAGTGCAGGATGTCAGGTGACTGAGGAAGCAAATCCATTCTGGCCCCCTCCACCCCTCTGTCTGGCTTTGTGGGCTTCGGGGCATCCCCGCCCCAACCCGTGGTCACTCTTGTCCTGTTGTGTTGTGTTGGGGACAAGAAGATATCCTGGCGATGGCACCAGGCAAGTGATTGCTTTCTCCTAGTGTATGCAATGGGGAGGTGACTGCCCAGCCTGTGGAAATCCAGGAAACAGTGCGTGGGTGAGAGGAAGAGAGAGAGAGGCTAGGATTACTGCGTGGGTGGTTGTGAAAGAGAAAGAGATGGGAAAAAGAAAGGAGGAGAGAAAGTGGCTCAGTCTGTATGTGGGTGTGTGACAGTGTATATGCAGGAGTGGCTGTGCCTGGAGGACAGGCTGTGAGTGTTGAGCAGAGGAAAGTAAGTAAAACACATGGTTTAACTCTTGTCTACAGGAAACTGTGTACTTGTGTGAGGACACTTACATGCATCTGCATGACCTGCGGTGGGATAGAAGCACACAAAGTGTGCCAGTGTCTGCCCATTGCACATATATATGCCAGGGTTTGATGGCATTCACACATGTATAAACTTTGAAAGCCATATATAGGAGAATGTCTGAGAATGTGGCTTGTCTACATTGTGGTGTACACATGTGTTTGTGGATGTATATGGTATGTATGTTTGATCAAATAGCACAGGAAGGTATATGTAAACCTGTGAGCAGTGCTCTTGTCACCTTCCTGTTAAAGTCACCAGGGTGTGGGGCTCCCTGCCCAGCCTCCTTTGCCATCTTCTCTTTCCCAGAAGCCCAAGGGACATGCTTGACCTTGACTAGACTCTGTCAGCTCTCTGCCTAATAATCAAGATGGATATGTCCAGGGCCAACTTACGTACAATCTGTACCCGTACCCAATCCTCCTACCCTTCTGAGGCTCAAGGCGGTATCTGTTAGAGTGGCAAAGGCCCTAGAATCCTCTAGATAACCCTCACCATCAAACGGCCCCTGGCAAAGAAGAAGCTGGGTCAGCAGTGGCTCACAGGTTTCCCCATTACAGCTGAAGAAGAGGAATGTGGCTTGGCTGGGTCCCCCACCCACTCTCAGAGCCTGAACAACCATTTTCCAGCCCCAGGTGGGTGGAAGAACACAGCCTGCTTCCTTGTCTCCATGGAAACAAAGCAGCAGAAAGAGTATTTAGAAGCATGGGCCCAAGACCTCTCGGGGTTCAAGTCTCAACTCCTCCACCTACAGGCCATTGGATTGCAATTTTGACACTTCTCTTAAATTCTGTGTGCCTAGTTTCCTCATCTGTAAGGTAGAGATAAGAAAAGAATGAACTGGGTATGGAAGGCACACCTGGAATCCCAGCAGTGGAGAGACAGCTGTTCAAGGTCGGCACAGGTTCCTTAGCAAATTTCAGGGCAGCAAGGTGGCATAGCAAGACTGTCTCAAAATAAAAAGAAAAAAAGAGGGAGAGGAGGAGGAGGAAGAAGAGGAGACAGCAGTGGCAAGTCTGAACTCCCTAAGGCTATTCAGAGGATGCAATGAACTCGTGTATAAAGCATTCAACAAGGAGCCTAGCATCTGAAAAGAGAAGCCTGGGTTTCAGCCTTCGATTTTGCTACCAATCCACTGTGTGACTTTGCACACTTGTTTGCTGCTTCTCTCCCTCTGACTCCATCCGCACAGCAGACTCGACCCTCTGCCAGATTCAGTCAGCTGACTGAGAAGAGGACTGTGGAGAAGATGGCTACGGAGCAGAGCTCTTTCTTGGTGAACTGTGGACCGACCATCTAGTGTTTGGCAGAGGCATGATCACATTCCCATATCAGACTTCTCTCAGCCACTCCTGACATGGAACTTGAATTTGAGGCTGCAGTCTCTTCTTGCTTGCCAAAGGCCCCGTTCTGCCCAGCTCAGCTGGTACCAGCATCCTCTGATTCCCAAATAAAGGTCTGTAAGGTGCCCCAAGCAGAAGATGAATGACTTGGACTTCAGTCTGCCAGGCAGCACTCCAGAAAGCCAGGTTTAATAGCGGAAGGATGGGTGTGATTGTCTGAAGATGCTTATGATCCTCTCCGTAATGAGAGGAAGCTTGGAGAGGAAGCCCTAAGCTAGAAGTAACCTGGCAGCTCCCCAGACTTCTTCCCTCTGGCTCTCCAGGCAGAGGGAAGAGACCTGCCACTCCCCATCCCCAGGGAGCAGAAAAGCCATTGAGACTTAGATATAAGACCACCCAGATTTCCACTCCTTAGCAAGACCCAGCTTCCTTTGAAAAGTCTTACAGGTCCCTTCTCTCCTCATGAGGCCGCTCCTGCCCATCTGTCCTAAAATGCTCAGACCAACTGGATGGACAGTAAAGAGACAAATGAATTGGGCTGTTCATGAAAAGGACACAGTGAGTCTTAGAGCTGACAATGGCTGTGTACCTTGGTCAGGTGACTTGATCTCTGAGTCTCCGTTGTCTAACCTGCCCTTCCTTGGAAAGTTACAATAAGACAGAGAGTGAAATACCATCAAATGACCCACGGACTGTGAGATGCCACTAAGGTAATTAAAGGTAATCTTTTCTCCTCTCTACCTCACCCGTAGTCGCTACCCTTCCAGGGTGTCTGCAGAAAGCACACTTTCAGAATAGAATCCTAGCTAAGAGCACAAGGCCCCTAGTCAAACAGCCATGGCTGAACATGCTAGTCACATCCTGGACAGGTCACTTACATTCCCGGGCCTCTATCTTTCATCTGTGTAATGGGCTCTGCTGTGAGACTGCAGGAAGCCCTACACAGACGCTGTTAGCACATCAGCAGCCTCTGCACACAGCTCAACCAACAGCAGCTAGGCCGTTCAGCCAGCAATGATCGCTTCCATTTCACTTTACACAGCTACCTAGAGCATCATAAATTTTCCAAAACATAGCCACAGCTAAGACCATGGCACCCTTTCAACAGCTCCCGCTTTTATTCTATTTTCACAGATGAAAAGGGGGGGAAAAATGAGCTCACCAAAGGGACTTGCTAGGGCTTGACTACTGAGTACTGGGCTGATAACCCATCATCCTGCCTCCTGACCCAGCTGTGGCCCCGGGGAAGAGGAGGGAGCAAATACAATGCTCCTCAGGTTCCTCAGGACCCATATTCGGGATGACTCTGGGGATCCTCCTCCCTGTTTAGAGGCTCTGAAGGCCCCTCACTGCTCCTGCCCAGTTCTCTGCATAACCCATGTCTCAGCAGGGACTGTGACCAAAGGAGATGCTCAGAGCCCGAAGAGAATTGTTGCAGAGAGCAGAGTGGGTGAGAAGGCTGGTGAGGTGCCAGCTCTGGCATCAGCAACGCCTGCAGAGAAATGAAGTGTTCCTTCACTCTCTTGACTCAGGAGCCCTCCCAGGACTGTCCCCCACACACTCTGCACCCTGGGGACTTGCTGGCAGCAGCTCTCCAGCCTGGGCAGATGGTGGCTGAGCTCACAGCCAGCGCTCTCTCCACCCCCCCACCCCCGCCCCGTGCGAACCCAATGCATTTCCATTGCCACTGGCCAGCAGTGGAGAGACTCAGAGTAATCTATTCTGCCTTGTCTTGCCTGCTCTGCAGACCCCAGCTCTCACTGGCCCCAGAGAAACCGATCTTCCTCCCTCCACAAGCTGTCACTGGATCTTGCTGTAATCCAGGTGACAAGGCTTCTGCCTTTGTCATTCATCTCTGACAGATGGAGAACCAAGGGCTGAGCGAGGACCCTTTGCCTAGCTCAGCATTCAATATGCTTAGGGACCTTGATGAGCAGTCTCCTACTTTTGAGTCTCAGTTTCCCAGTGGAGGTCAGCTTACATGAAAGGCTTCACCCTCTACCCTGTCAGCACCTGTGAGGCAATGACCCTCTCTGTCAGTGTCTGTTTGTCTAGAGCTGCCACTGAGCTCTGTAGGTTTAATGGGGTGGGGGGCTCTGCCCAGATCAGGTGCTTGGGACTTCACAGTCACTTGCTACCAGTAATAGGTAAAGGGCAGGTGAGAGGGGGAGTGGGTTTTTGTCAACCAAGTGATATACGGGCTTTCTACTGATGCCTTCTCCTGGACAAACAGCTGGAACTGCACATACTACCCAGGTGCCCATCTCCCCACAGCTGGAGATCTGGACATGCTGCAAGACTTGTGATCATTGTTAAACATCCTAGGAAAACATGCTTTAAAGGTCCCTGATTAAGACCTTGTGGAGTTTTCTATGACCCTGGGGAGAAGGGATACAAGCTTACCTGGTTTGGGGGCCACCCTGGGCCCAGGGCTGGTGCTACCAGTTGTCATCACTTTCCTGGCCTGTACCACATCCCAGTCATGGCTGGCTCTGTCATTGTGCTGGAACCCACCTCGTGCCTCTCTGGAACAGCTGGATGGCTGGATTATGCCTGAGGCTCTGGATAGCTGTGGTGTCCCATGGTTGGCTCTGCTTCTGCTGGCCACCTCTTCTTCCAGGTCCACAAGCCTCACCTCTCCCTGCTGGCCATCTTCACTGCTGCTCTCTTCAGCTTCCAGAGTCAGGCACCTGTAGCTCCCATCTGGGATCTGAAAGGTGCAAGGGGCAGTCCTCCCCTCACTGGGTCCAAGGGGCGGGGGTAGGAAGTGAGGGTCCA